TCCCCAGCCATCAGACATATCCAACATGCTGACAGTGGTATTCGGATGCATCGGGACCAACAACCAAATAGCCATAGTCTAGTTACGAATGAGACAGTGGTTGATTTGCCCCCAGAGTACTCACTAGTATGAATGTTGATCGACAATATTATTTATTATTGTAGTATATAGGAAGATACTTATTTATAGCATTGGATGAGATGCCTATGCTTGGCCAAAGTGAACAAAATTATTTTCCGACACTTTGGCCGATTTTGGCCTATTTTCGAACTTTTTGCAAGTTGTTCGAAACTTTAGGCGTGACATGTGACAGATTTCAATTTCCGCAACTTTACTCATTCGAACTTCTATAGGTTCATTCGCAACTTTCGGCGTGACGTGACATAAAAGAAATCAAAGACTTGTACATTGGAGTTTTAGAACTTTTGCATGTTTGCATGCTCAGAAGATCTGTCTACTGCTACATAAATATTGACACTTGTTAAGTTGTTAATTATTGAAAATAATTTCACAAAATATATACTTTATATATTCAAATTACGGCTTCACTTTGTGATGCCATTTTGTCCATTAAATTAAATAATTAAATATTGAAATCTCTTGACACATGTAAATAGACAAGTAATAAGGTTAATTCATGTAACTCTATCTATTAAGTCACAGCATGAGAGGTGTGGGTATTTAAAAAAATAGGACAGCCTCTCGTCTACTGCCCTTTGAAATCTACTATCTGGCTAGAATTTAAGTATCTGATAGATAACACTTTTTTCATTCAGATTTATCTATAAGGAAGCATCTGACGAGTCTGATCAATCCGAAATGAATGAACGCTTACGAGGACAGTCTAGTAAGGCAGCTGCAACAAGCTCTAATGTGTTTCAACATGCCTCATTGTGTATTAGGCCTTGCGGTGCATCCTTGACCTTCGAGGATCAAGTGGGCATGGTATGTACAGTGAGGCCTGATGATTTAAGATAAGGTGAAACTGCTTTCAATTGAATTGAAGAGCACGAGGCCAACTGTAAGAAAGAATCGTCCTTACATGAAACTTTTCGCCTGAGTCCGTCACTGCTGTGGTCTTGTTTGGATTGGAAGTTTTTGACTTCTTCAGAACAGCAACCCATTTAAAATCAAGCTCGTACTTGCCATGCTTGTGGTGACCCACTTAAAGTAAAACTGCCTTCAATTGAATTGAAGATCACTGAAATGATAATTCAAAGAGATTTCAATATTTAATTATTTAATTTTGCAATGGGCAAATATGGCATCACAAAGCAAAACCATAATTTTATATATTATGTGAAATTATTTTCAATAATTAACAACTTAACAAGTGTCAATATTTATGTAGCAGTGGACAGATCTTCTGAGCATGCAAACATACAAAAGTTCTAAAACTCCAATGTACAAGTCTTTGATTTCTTTTATGTCACGTCACGCCAAAAGTTGCGAATGAATCTATAGAAGTTCGAATGAGTAAAGTTGCGGAAATTGAAACCTGTCACATGTCACGCCCAAAGTTTCGAACAACTTGCGAAAAGTTCGAAAATAGGCCAAAATCGGCCAAAGTGTCGGAAAATAATTTTGTTCACTTTGGCCAAGCATAGATGCCATTGATTTCACACTACGGCACAAGCTGTCTGACCATTTCTTCAGTCGATTCATTTCTGGGTGTAATGGAGCACTTGAAGGGAACTGACATGCTTTCCAAATTGGAAAATGATTAGTTTTTTGAACAGGTTCTTTACGCGAGTCGATAGACTTACTATGCTAGGGTGGACGTACATTCATAGCTCGGCTCTATGATGTTTCCTTGTTCGTCCATAGCTTTACTGATATTGTAAGCCGATAGAAGAGACGCAATAGTAATCCATATGGAGGAATAGGCCATATAACGGGCTGGACAAATCCTACACAAAAGGATATCAGACCGGTAAGGCCATTTTAGAGCATCGTTCCCCACCTTCTGCCAAAACCGAACACTAGGTCTTCAGGAGCTTGAATATCCGGGTTCAGCGATCCGTCAGGGTTGAGAAAACGCTCAGGTTTGAAGGGATCCGGGTCGGGATATACCGCCTGAAAAGGAATGAAAAGACTGAATCTCCGACTTCAAAGGAAAGGTTATGCGCGCACTTCATCATGAAACATGGCCCTTTGATATGAAAGATGAGACAGATACATACAAGTACAGGCGAAGAGTGAAACTCACCACATATTCGGCAACACGATGGAATGTTTTGGAATTCGATATCCGTTGTACACGTCCTCCTCGTCAAGCATGTGTGGGAAGCCTCGGGAAAGACGTAAATGTCAGTACTTCTCAAATGCAAACAGAAAGAAGTGGAACTGAACATACCCATCGGTGCAACATTCCGCCATCTGAAAGCCTCTTTTACGACAGCAGTAACATAAGGAAGGCATTTTTCATCTTCAAATCTGGGAAGTACCCCACTTCCAAGAACCTTGTCAAGTTCCTCCTGGGCTCTGTGTTGAACATCCGGAAATTGAAGCATAGCGCAAACAAAGTGAGTGATGACGGCCAGGGTAGAATCTACGCCACCTAATGAAGTAATGGTAAACATCTGCACCCAGCATCCGTAGCGTACCTACCTGTGTACAAAGCTCCCGCTACCGACATGATATCTTCTTCTACAATTTCCCTAGTTCTTGTTCTATGTTCGCCATTCTGAAGCTCGTTATCAAGGTCTTCAAGTGCATTAGAGACAAATGAAGGCGAGTAATTGTTTGCCAGCTGGGATTATCAAGAATATCTGTTCATTCAACCAAGAAAGCAAATTTGAAGGAACTGACGTAATTTTTCTTTGCAGTTTCAAAGGGCATTTCAATCATTTTTCTGGCCAATTTACGCCATTCTTTTGCTTTGCGTTTGAATTCCGCTCCTATCGCCGGAAAACAAGTTGGCATTTAAAGGTGGCAAAAAATCTGAAACATACCAGGCATCCATTCAGGGACGTATTTGAGCCACGGTATGGCATCCACAAGAAAGCTACCTGGACGGGCCGCTATGCAAAAAGTATCCAAAGCGGCATCGGCTGCTGCAATATAGGGATCGTTTTCGGAAAGAACTTCAATACCATAGGCGACGGACAGAATGATCGAGCCCGTCATCCTGGGACCGTTCTCATTATCTGACCATTCGAGTTTCACATGAATGACACTTACTGCTTAACTTCCGCAATCATGTCCACGGGCTTGTATTCGGCACCGTAGACAGCCAAACGCTTTAGAAGGGTATGAGTTGCCCGTAATTCCGCATTTTGGAATTGAAGGAGTGCAGAGGGAAGAAACCCCTTCTGTGCTAATTTTCTATGGGCTCGCCTGATTTTGGAATTATAAGTTAGGGTATGGACAAATGGCAATGAGTATATTTACCATTTCTCCCCTGCAGGCTCGGTGATATGTTAGCGTGATTGAAGGACGCCCACAAAAAGCATACCGTATTTCATTATGACAAAGGAATAGTCCCAGCCCATCAACTCAGTTAGCATCGTCAGTTGAGGTCTGATACTAGACATCAGTTCATATTCAAAATCTTTGTCTCGAGTTGGTCCGTACCGACTGGAATATATCGACCTCTTGTCCAGCAACTCTTGAGCAGCTTCCACCTCGTCCAAGATTATCAAAGAAGTGCCAGCGACGCCCAAATGGATAATATCGGAGTCTTGATACCCACCAAGTATGTGAGTCCATTCGTACCAAGTAAAATCACTACTCACTGTATTTTTTTGCCCATGAATGATACACATCCCATTCCTTGGAAGTAGGAATTGCCAATAGGTTGCCGATTAAGGGAAGTTTGGTTGGACCAGGGGGAAGAGGAAGGGAGCGACGATTTGAAGATATTTCTCGTAAGAAGTAAAAAAGAACTAAAGGAAAGACAGCAAAAACGAAGAAGGGTGAGCTGCAAGTGGCTTGAAGGAAAGATTTGGATTCAGCCAACATGATGGCAGCTCCGAGATAAGTGAGAGCGCAGCGAGGCTTATCAGAGGATAAGCTAGTGACCGGAGTGGCAGTGCACTGTGTGACAAATCCAGGTCACAACAGACTGATTTGTCTTTTTTCTGCTCCCGCCTTCATCTGTCTAATCATCAGACTTCGCGTTCGTCAAAAGGTTAGGTGGATACGGGATGACCCTGAAACAGCGGTCATCCCTTGGTTTGAATTCGAGGGCACGACGGACGGCTACCTATAATACTACATACATTGTGCATACTATATGAAAGAGAAATTGGGAACGGGTGGGAGGGTAACGCGAAGATGAGACAGTGATAAGTACTAATGAATATTCGAGAGAATGATGAGTAGATGGAAATGATTAGTATAATAGATAGACATATCCAATGGACTCGAGAGAATGATGAGTGGGTATAAACATACGGAGTCCATTGGGTATAAAAAATTAGAGTGAAACAGATTCCGTGACAGGGGAAACAGGGGAAAAGAAGAAGAAAAAGAAAAGAAAAGAGAAAAGGAAAAATTGATCGGGTATTAGGGACAGCGGAGTACATGCTCAGGAGGTGGTGCATGTTTCGGCACTTGAAACTCTGGCAATGCGGTTACCAAGCTCGAAGGGAGGACAGCCCGGAGGTCCTGTGCGAAGCACTTCAATCGAGGGTAAAGAATACTTGTAGGTTCACGTACCTTGATGATTAGCATGTTGTAAAAAACAAGTTCTTTAAAAAACAACCGACGGTCGCACCTTCTCGATCGCGTCTTTTTTTTCAGAATTTCAGACTCTGAACGCGTTGAGGTTCTAGCATTCAGTATTCGTAACATATATTACGAATACCACATATCTCACATCCACGGAATAGCTCAGCTTATTGGCAAATAAGAATGAATCACACAGCTTTAACGTTTATATACCCCAATGTCCCTTACGTAGGTCATAAAAAGGCAGTACCGGATTGGGTCCTTACCAAATTACGGGCTTTGTGGTTGCAGGATATTCTCGGGTACAGTAGCAAAAGAAATAACAATGGCCAACGTGGGGATCGAACCCAAGACCTTCGCGTTGAACGGGTTACACAACCGGTCCGCCGGATAAGGAGCGGATCGGCTGTCTAGCCTATTAGCACGACGCTCTAACCAACTGAGCTAGTCGGCCTGACATGAGGTTAGAAAACATGGAACATTTTCAGACGTGTGTACAGTTTCAACTGATAAATACTCGACTTGACTGGCTATACTACATTATAATCTGTCAAATTCTGCCAACTCTTCCCAAAAGCTTTTGCTAGACGTTGGACACCAATATACATGTCCTCCCTCTGAGTAACGAGTTGATTAGTTTCTCACTGAAAGACTTGACGGCGGAAGAACTCACACTTTCATACGAGAAAGCTAAACGGAAAAAGGCAACATCTGGCTCTTTTTTCTTCTCTTCCCCAGGTCCAACTACAGGAGCATAGAACCAGTGAGGTGTAACCAGAATCTATCAAATAATTGTCAGTTCGTCGACTCGGTATAGAATTGAGTAAGTAACTCACCTTTTCTTGGATCAACTCTTGCCAGAATTCTCTTGTCCATTTCTCATCCGGTTCTTCCTCGCCTGCATCTTTGAGAGCTTTAAAATCTGGATTTTGACCCAAGTGCACTTTGATGTACAGAAACATTCCTCCCTGGCCGTATCGTCTTGAATATGGACCATAGTCGCAAAAAGATGAATACGTACCTTTGGATAACTGAAACTGAACAATGGTACTGGGTTCGTATCTTTACCGTGGCCTTTTATGACGGCTATGAAGTCGTTATCGTAATCGTCTCCCGCCGGAAGTACATCGAACACGTCCCGGACAATATCCACCTAACGATATATTTACAGCTAATTCAAGAAGAGATAGGAGAATAGACTTACGATCCAATCTCTACGAATCCCATAGTTTTCCCTAATACCCAAGAGCCAACGAAGATAACCGTCCTGGCCCCAAGTGACGAGAAGCTCTTCAATAATTGCCTGTATATTAAACTCTCGTCAGTGAGACAGCTCTTTCTTCTCCGTTTACGAAGAAGCGAATGAAAAACAAGGTTTCGTCAAACCTGAGACCACCCGCAAGGGGCTTGAGAAACAACTTCGGTGGCGTGTTGTAATCGTTCTGCGAAAGATGGGTTGCAAATGAAGTATCCCAATCGGTTTCCGGGTCCGAGAGTCTAGATTGAATGTGAGAGAGATTTTAACTAGTTACACATAGACTCGCCTTGCTAAGGGTTTCCAAACGAATGACACGTCCTTGGTAATCACAATGAACGAATGGTGGAACGAGTGTTTTGATCAAGTCAGAGTCACTAACGACTCCTTGGGGAGCTTCTCCAGAGCGTTCGGATGGTGCTACATACTGCGGGAGCTGCAGGAAGTAGTAGGGGTCATCTTCACAAATGATGATATCGTATGTAACGCAGATCTCATAGATTGCCTTCTTGCGCTCCCAAGTTAGCGTCGAGCCAGTAGGATTCTGTCCGACAGGGACAGTATAAAGCCTGGAGGAATACGTTTAGCGGCAAAGGAGTCCATACGGGTAGATTCTTACAGATGTGGCCTCTTGATTCCCGGATGACTCGTGGCCCAGTTTTCCATAATACGTTCCAAGTCCTCTGGGATCATTCCGTCTTTATCCATTTTCACCGCAACGCCTTTACAGCCCATCGGAGCCCACAAAGCTTGAGCGGAAGGGAAAGTGTGCTCTTCGACAATGATGTAATCTCCAGGTTCACAAAACAGATTGACAACTTTGGACCAGCCGTCGGTACTGCCAGAGTTGAGAAGAACCTGCCAGTTAGCGTACCCTGGACGCATGATCCTGGCCGTAAAATCATAGAACAGGGCAGTGAGAGTCGGAGAACCGCGACCAGAATCTATGATAGATGGTAGTTTTCAGGTGTAACTTTGAAACAATTTTGGCTTACAGTATTGCAATGCTTTTGATAGCGTGTTCAATTGGTTACCATTGGCATATTGGGGCAATGAAAGGGCCATCGATGAGTTGACGGCCTCTCCGGGAGTGATTTTCGCGTCCGGAGTGTATACTTTCAGGTCGAGTTGTTGGTACGGGAAAAGGCTCGGGTGAGGGAGTCCTAGTTAAAGCAGAATTTAGAAGTGATAATCATATAATGTCAATAAAATATTACCTCCAGCCAGGCTAATCATCCCGGGCTCTGCCAGGTCTTGAAACCATAGCGTAAATTACCTAGTTCGTCACTCGTAGAAATGAATCTGTACTTACACTGAAAAATGTGTTTCAAGGGACTTGCGCCCCTTGAGCGACTCATCTTGTTGACATGGTGAGAGAGATCGATAGCTTTTCGTGGTTCGTTGTTGGAAGACATGAGACTTGAAATTTCATGTTGCCATTACTTACAGGCTATTTATGAAGACCATTTCCCGGTGATCGAGTCAGGTAGATCTTTATCAGCAGAATAAAGCTAGGATTATCTTGAGTCCGATATGACGAGACTTTCTCTCCATTTAGGAGTAAGAGGGAGTAAGCTTATCCCATCATTCTTAGAAGCGGGACTTGTATTTAGTTGGTCAATTGATAGTTAATATGAACGACCTATCACGATTAGCCTTTGAATCAACCGGATTGTAGGGAGCGCTTGCGTTGTAAGTGTCCATTAGTCAGACTCCCAGCATCGGGCGCTGAAAGATTTTGTCTCAAACAGCAAGATTGTTATCTCACTGAATCTGTAAAAGACGGAAGATCGATTGCTCTCGCACTAGTGACTATGCGGTGGATTGTCGGTTGTTCAAGGAAAAGTGCCGATACTCAGCGCGAAGGTTCCAGCCTCCGAGGAAAGTAAGTGGTATGAGCTTGGAGTAGGAATGGACTTGGAGTAGAAGATTCTCCAACTCTTCTGACTGCAAAGACAAGCGTCGAATAGGGACGTCGGGAAGCCTGAGCTTTCGGATGTTGCCGGTACGGAATACACGCCATCAGCACGTGTTGTATATGGAGCCCCGGTGGTGACGTTTACTTTCTCTTCAGCTCTCCACTCTCCTCCTCTGCTTGTACCGGTTTCTTATCCTAGTCTTTCACTTCTCTATCTTATAAGCTGATGGGTCCTGTCAGTGATAACAGCTATCTTATATACGTGCATTTATGCTAACTCTGCCGCAGTTTGGCCCGCAGGGACCCTAAAGCTCTTCACCTGCGGCGTTTACAAGCTTCACAATGGCAGCCATCTCGCGCGAAGTCCGACCGGGCAGCAGATTTCGACCTCAAGATTTCTACTACGGGGGCGAGCTAGATGAGGCTTTGCTCCGAACAATCTCAGAGGCCTCAGAGTCGAGTAGTTCTGACGACTCCGAGTCGGATGAGCTAGACGATGACACCGCTTTGGCCATTGCAATTCAAGAGTCATTGGAATCTGCCAAACTCGAGGAGCTTCAGAGGTCTCATGGGAGCTCGCCGTTGGCCAGCTCAGTTTCTCAATCTCACATTCCGTTTCCTACAACATCGGGGTCTATTTCAGCAACACCGGAGAATATCTCAGTTCCTCGGGCACGGCCAAGACAAAATTACTCACATACTCCGAGCGTGAACTCGGCTTCCTCCGTTGCGCCTTCGCCTCGGTTGTCAGTGTCATCGACTGGGTCGTCCTCGCCTCAACTTCCAGCGGAAACCTATTCTCGTAGCCGCTCTCGTTCCATCAAAGGCAGTGCTCGATCTTCAAGGTATATTAATGTTGACTTGGACGAGGTGGCTAGAATGTCTAGGCGAACGTCTATGGCAACAGCCACGAGAATGTTTCGAGGAAATTTATCACAAAGATCTCGTGATGGATCACAAACTCGCTATGCGTCCCAATCTGATTCGTCGCCTTCAAAGAGTTCACAATCTGATCTACAAACCGAGCTTTCGCAGTACGAGAAGTTATTTTTTCCTTCGCGACTTCCTCCTTGTTCTAGGTGCGGTGGCCAGACCTCCGTAGTCTCAGTGAGTATATGTTTTATTAAATTTGCTACTCTCTTGTGACCTTTTCACGCAGTCGCCTCATCGTGACAGAGCTCGTTCTTCGTTCAAGTTGCATCAATGCTTACACATTGTCTGCTCCGTCCCCGAGTGTGGTCAGGCACATTGTCGCGGATGCCTTAAGCCGCGCAGAAGCCGTTGTTCTCCGCGATGTTCGTCATCCACTGACACGAGTAAACTTTGTCCCACCGTGTCTTGCTGTGATTTGGTACGGGTCGTAGGTGTATTCGAGATTCTTTGTTGGCTCGAAGATATCTATCTGGCATCGTTTCCCTCGGTCTCGCCATCTTCCTCCCCAAAGAGAACAGGTACAACTATGGGATCTCAATGGGAGAGCCGTGCAGAAAATCTGTTCAATCTTCTTCACTCCTTGCTTTCATTTCCTATCTCAGATGATGAAGAGAAGGAACAATTCTGGAGCTTTGTCGCTCCTTTACTTGAAGTCTCTCTTCTTCGCCACATCCTAGCTACCCTGCTCCAAAATGCCAGTGTCAAACTCTGGGTCACTCAAAGTGATCTGTATCTGTCCATCCTCCAACTCTTACGTACCCTAACCGACTCTCCTGAGCGTCGAGTACGCGCTTTATTCATGAATTCACCCAGTCCGTCTAATCGTCCTCACTTGGCATCTACTCCTAAACCCGATTACGGTATCAGTAGATGGGCTAGAGAACGTGTCGATGCCCACTCTAAAGCCAGGTCGGGGCCGGGTTCGAGTCGATCTCATGAGAAAGGGCAACAAGTTCAGCGTCCTTCTCAATCGCAGACATGGCCAGCGCTCCAGGAACCAAGCCAAGAGTCGCTTTACTCTATAATCGAAGGGCTTGATGCTCACCGCATGGCGTTGATCGACATGAGGAATCGAATTCATTTCCCGCCGACTGTAGAGAAGCTTTGGGGTTTGGCGGATGGATTGATGTATCTTGCATTGCAGGGCTTGTTGTGGTATTGATGAAAGGTAATGAACGTCACTCGAGGAACTGGTATTATTTCCGTATACCTTTATCGCTGGGCGATTTCATCTGCTGGTACTCACGGGAATCCTTTCTTCTTTTCTCGGTTTGAAACCTTGTAGGAAAGAAGGAATTTGGTAATTCCACGCGCATGCGCTTGTGGTATCATTGACTAGCCTGAATTA